TGACTGGGGTCTCGAATAATTGAGGGTGGGTGTGGGTGGGGTAAGCATAGGTCGTTCTGATTAGCATAATCGTTCTTCGCCTACAGCTATATTCACCCACACGCACTCATTGAAAAACGTTGAAATGAGAAAAAAAATTTACCCAATTGTAAACAACTGACAGATCTGCATCCATCAGATAAATTTGAACAATAAATGTATTTAATTTTTTAAGACAACTATAAAGTAAACAAAGGGAACCATTTAAAGTTCTCACATTAATAGATAAATAAGTATGAGTTAATGAAGAACAAGTATTTGATGGTAAATGATGTATTGATAAAGCTGTATATGCAAAACTTGTTGTTTGAATTATATTGAAATATTTTAATTTTTAAAAATAATTTAAAATACATGCATAAACTGTTTGTGTATATTTTTCCCGTGATCTTACCATACGTTCATGATGAATATTTTTTTAAGTTTAACTTTAATCATTTGGTTTTTTGGAATATAATCGAGAGATGATTTATTGAAATTAATATTCACTAATTAATTAAATCTAAAAAGATAAAACTGTCTCACCTGTAAAATGATGTAAAAAATTATCGGGTTGACAGCTAATAAATTTTATTTGAGTTAAATTTGGATAATGAATTAACAATCAAATATTTAACATTAGAAAATATTCGAAGTAATATGAAATTAGAAAATCAATTAAATATTATACTATTGTTAATAATTGTTGTCAGCTTACGAGTATTAGAAAAAAATTTATTTCGTATTGTACTTTCAAGTCGTTCATTATTAATATCAAATAATGAATAAAGAACATCAATATTATCAAGTTTATTGAGTATATAATATAAAATTTCCACAAAGAGATCAACAAGTTTAATATCATAATGATTCATTTTTTTCCATGACATCGAATGCTTTCGTCATAATACAAACACATTCATATGTCAATCTTTTTTATTTACACTTACGATCTTTGGCACCAATGAAATCATTGATCAATATTATTTCTGTAATAGAGAACGATCGAATAATACCATCTAAATCAAATAAATAGAGTTAAAAGAATTTTTCTCTTTCCAAATGATATTTGGTTATATTTGGCAAAACTTGATTTAAAAATACTGAAGATAATATACTTGATATTAATGGTTCATTCTTACATTTAGTAACATATACAGAAAACAGCATTTGAAGTTTATCCCTCATTTTAACTTTCATAGTACTTTGACAAATCAAAAGATCCGTATTTTTATTTACGGTTTGAATTGTTCAGTCACACTCATTCCTCACATGTCTCTAGTTATGGTTCCGTAAGATATAAATTTCGAAAAAACAACTGATGACTTCTACTTTCAATGTAAAAAAAAGGATAGTTTATTCAATTTTATTAATTAAAAATAAAAGATTTTATTTCAAATAAGTGCATAGCTAGCCATTGTAGCAATACCGCATTGATTATTTTTATTTCTTGCAAATAACATATAACCATCCATTCCCCATTTTGTTGTCCATTGATTTTTAAGAATATAATAATCTTGATTATCTGTTGTTGTACCATATCCAACAGCCAAAAGTGAAAAATCTAATTGTGTTGATGAACAAGCACTTTCTGAATAAACACCTGATGAATAAAATTCAAATGAATTTTGACTTGCATCAACTGCAACTGCAATTGGACCAATATTTGCAATGGCATCTTGAAGATCATCTTCTGATTGAGCTTGAATATCAACATAACTCTTGAGGAAGAAAAGAAGAATTTAATTCAGCTATTATAAATGAAAATTGAACTTACAGCAACTTTTGTTGCAACAGTTTTAATATTAAATCGACACTTTCCGTCAATAGCTTCATAAGGATAACTTGCATTTGTATCAATTCCATTATTTTCTTCAAGATATTTATATGAATTATCCATCAGACCTCCATTACAACCAGCGTTTCCATAATCTGATGAACAATCAACAAGTTGTTGTTCAGATAAAGAAATAAGATTTTGTGTTTTTTTAGCAAGTTGTCCTTCAAGTGTACCCGTGGTTGAAAATGCCCAACATGCACCACATTGTCCTTGATTTTTTACCGGTGTCACATATCCTTTTGTCCGCCAATCTAAATCATCATATCAATGAAGAATTTATTTAGATGGAAATATATAAATTCTTTTACCAACAGATGGTGGTAGTTTTGTATTAGATGGAATATGAAATTTTTGATTTCGTTTCTTTTCCGGATTAATTTTTAATCCAGTCATTTGTTGGAGAAATTCTTCATGTGTCTAGAATTATTTTAAATAATATTAATTATAAATTTAGGGGAAAATATAAAGACGAACAAGATCACCAAAATGATTAATTTTCATTGTATATGTATGAAGACCTAAATCAGCTTCTAAATTATGTTTTTGAATCATTCGAACATTTGCTTCCCAAATATTTCGTCTCGAAAAAAAAACAAAAGAAATTTTCATTGTTAATTAAAATTTATTATTTTTACCGAAGTTGTTCTTCGTTGATTGAATTATATTGTTTTTCATGAATATTTTTAAATAATTTCCATGCTCGATCTAATGATGATGTTCGAAGACTCAAACAAAAAGTGAGAAATAGGCTGAAAGTAACGAATAAAAAGAGTATATTCTTCATTTTGTTTTATTTTAACTAAATTTTGTAACGTCAATCTTGTTTTTAATACACAAATTTTCTTTTGTCATGTCGTATAAGAATGATAATGCATTTAGATAACGAATAATTTTACTTTTATAAAAACCTATGTCATTTCTTATCTCTTTCTCGTTTCTGCATTAAAATATAAACCAGTTTTCTAAATATACACATTCTTCGTCATATTATATTGTCTCATAGATCTGTTGTTGTTATGGAAAAAGACCAAAAAATGAGAAAAGCAAAAGGAGAACCTAATAACATTCTACACAAGATGTTATATTTGATGATGTCACTCTCATACTCATTTCACAAACATATCGAACTAATCATGAATAAATAATATTATGAAATATATTGGGAATCAAATACCTATATTTTGAGGGTATAGGCGTTGGTGTAGATTTAATAATCAACACAATCACACCTACACCGCAAAGATATTCTGAAATTGAAGACTTACAATAAAATACTATAATAAAAGAAATCGACGATAATGATCATAATAATAAATAGATTCTTTTCTTTTAGAATTTAATTATATTTATCATGTGGATGTGAACTGATGTAACCATCGCCACTCATTCTCTGAAGAAAATATCAGTCTTGACGAACAAAAGATTAATTGTTATTAGTCGAAATAAAAGGAATTATATCGATAGAATCGTTAACAGAAAATAATTTAGTTTGTTTGAAGTGATATATAGCCTATAATGATTTAGATGTGTTAGAGAAATATGTTTGTTTTGTGTATTTCTTGGTTTCATTGTTTAACGTGTTCATTAAACATGCTCTTTACTTAATGACAAAATTGTCGACTAATTTTTGCAGATCCATTACTTCCGCGCGCGTGACATAAAAAATTTGTCCTGCAAGTATTTATTTATTTTATGATGTTTCCAACGTAATTTAAGAACTTTTTTTTAATTTCAGCGTTGCTTGCATCTCAGTGCTGCCAACATATAGAAAGATAGCACTCAAGCATAAAAACATCTTCACATCTAATGCATTTATTATCAGTAACAATTTCCATCAGTTTGAAAACAGAAGTGGAAGAAGTTCGATTAAAAAATAAAAGAAAACTTTTAACACCCTTGTTAATGTGGGTGTTCAATGATAATGGATAGTTTCAATTCTAATACATTTTAAGTGTATCAATCATAGACAAAAAAAAGAATAGGTCACGTTCATTAATGTACTATTTCATTTCATTGCGCATTAAAGAAAAATTACCCATTAGTTTGACGATATTTAGTTGACAACAATGATGCGTTCAATTTGCTTGCTGATTCTAACAACAACTGTTATCAATACTACTTGTACAACACGTATTGGACGTATTTATAATGCAATGTATGTCTCTAACGATACGAGCATAGTTATGACATACGAAAATACATGTTCCGAATGTATTTGCTATGCATTCTTCTCTGATATATATTCATTGTATATGGGATTGAATTGCTATACAAATAATCAAACGTGTCGCTTATTTGCTAATTTCTCTTCGACATCATTAGTAGGAGATATTAACTCAACGTTTATATTTATTCAGCTGCCAACGTTCGAAAATATAATAACAGGTAATTGAACGTCTCTTATATTTCGAAAGTTATAGTATATAGTATTGAGGATGTGGGTGTGAATGAAGGTATCAGTGAAAAAGAAATATCTACACCCACATTCACTATTGTAGTTTTGGACGAACTACTTTGAAAAATACCTAATCACTGAGGAGACGAGTTCAGTTGCTGAATTCTCGTGTTGTGTACAGAATCGGTCAGACCCGAACAGAGTGCCTATTGTATACAGATCACCGTATTCTTATCGAAAGAAAAAAAACATTTATTTAATGATAGCGAGGTAAAAAGAGCAGAATTTTTTTCTCAAAGACGAAGATAAATCAGCTGAATAGAAAAGTATTTCTTTCTAATGTTCTAATCTGATTGGCTAGACAGGGGTTTCAACCATGTTATGTTATCCTATTTTTTAGTGCCTTCAACGGAAACAACGATTTCATCAACAACAACGATAACGACATCTTCATCAACAACAACAACAACATCATCAACAACAACTACAACATCATCATCATCAACAACAACAACAACAACAACAACATCATCGACAACAACAACAACGACAGTAAATAGTAAGTGATCGACTGAATGATGATTACGTTTCACAGATGTTCAACAGAAGATGGCTTTTGCAAGATGTAAAAGATTTTTTTTTCTAAAGTTTGAAGTATCTTAAACCAAAGGAACTTTAACAAGTTAAATTCAGAAAAACGTCCTAAAAATGACGAAAATCTTGAGAGTAGGTGTGAGTAACTGAGAAACACAACACTTTATACCTAGCTACCCACAGCTTTTGCATATGTTAAAAAAAAACTTCTATTTATAATAGCGCAATACAACGCGACATTTACGGCACAAAAACCAATTTCCTGTCCCGGAGGTCCGTGGAGTGTGGCTGTTCGTGATGTTAATAACGACAGCACACCGGATATTATTATCGCAAACATTGATAATAACACAATCCTTATACTCTTTAACTCGGGCAACGGCACATTCCCTGTACAAAAAACTTACTCAACTGGCGCCAACCCTTATAGCGTGGTAGTTATTGATATTAATAATGATAGCAAGCCCGACATTATTTACTCAAACAGTGGAGGTGACAGCATTGGTTTTCTCCTTAACAAGGGTAACGGCTCATTTGGTCTACAAACAACTTATTCAACTGGTTTGGATTCGCAGCCCCGTGGTTTGTCAGTCATTGATATCAATAATGATAACAAACCCGACATCGTTGTCGCACTTTT